GGAGGAGGGAGGGAGAGAGGGAGGAGGGAGGGAGAGAGGGAGGAGGGAGGGAGGAGAGAAAACTAGAGGTAGGCGCTGTTATCTCCAAGGTAGGCATCACCCAGCCTGGGTAGGAAGTAACACCAGTTTGGGGAGGGACACTGCAGAACTTCCTGCATTGGAATGAGTGTGTCCGGTCAACATTGACCCTGAGAGGCTGGACATTTATTGCAGGGATGAAGCCACTCTTCAAAACAACTTTGTTTTAGGTCCACAATGCCCCCCCAGTGCCCACGCTAGGCAGTGCGGCAATGTTGGGAGGGGAGATGATTCGATGCTGAGGACTCGGGCCCCCTCGGGGGACTGACCCACTCGATGGGCTAACACTCTGAGTGGACCATTGAGAGGTGGTTAAATGCTGTAGGCAGCGGGGCCTAGCTGGAGGAAGAGGGCACCAGGGCATGCCCTCCCCCTCTCTCTGCTTCCCTGCTGCCGGGAGCTGAGCTGCTGTCCTCCACCACGCCCCTCTGCCATGATGCTCTGCCTCCCCTCAGGCCCAGAGCTGGCGGACCACGGACAGAGACTCTGAAACCATGAGCCCAAATAAAGTTCAGTTGTCTTCGTCAGAGAGGCGAATCGCTGACTTGCACAGCCTCAACTTGAAAGTCATATTTCAAAACTGCCTTGAGAGTTCGTCGGCGAGAACCTCTCACCGCCAACAACCGTGACTTTGGTGGCGTTGGCGGAGAAGAAGTGCCGTGCTGGTGGTTTGTGCCAATGCAGGTGCCACACGGTGACTGGCTGGCCCCCTCCCCTCGCTCCCAACACATGCAGCCTGAGAGAGCCAGCTTCATTATCTCTCAGAAGGTTCCAGAGGATCTGCCTGGGTCTCTGGTTCAAGGTGATCGCAAATGGGAGCCGCCGAGACGATCTCTCCAGGGAGCATGACACAGTGGTACCTCCAAGAGGAAGCGGCGGCTCACCTTCTCCTGAAAGAGCGCACACCCACACTGAAGTCAGGACGCATGTCCAGCCACCCGGATCAGCTGTCCCCTCCTGTTGACCTCCCAGACAAGTAGAGGCTCAAGCCCAGGGAGGCTGGAGTTTGGCTTCTCTTTGGTCGTGGTGAGTCCCCAGAGGCTGGAAGAAAGCCTAGCACCTAACAAAGGCTCAAAAAAACCTTTATTAAGTAAATGGACCCAAGATAGAATATCGAGGCGCGAAGGAAAACGTGAGCGAAGCTGCTGACCTCTGGAACGGCCCCCGTGCCCCCACCTCCTGGTGCTCGCATCCTCCCGAGACCCCTCCCGTACGGTGCCTGGGTTGGGCTCTGTGCCAAGAGCCTAGGGGAGAAGGGGAGATAAGTCACCTCCAAGATCTGTTGTAAGAGAGAGGGCAGACCTGGGTAAGCCAGCTGCCTGTCACGAGAAGCCCCCCGAGTCACGTTGGGAGGAGCCAGGGCTTCCTGCAAGCAGCCAGCAAGACACTGAGGCCCCCACCCACCGCCCGCTGAGTGCACCACTTTGGATGTGTTCCTCCAAGTGCAGTCAGGCCTCCTGAAGGACCCTCCTGAACCACAACCCTCCAGCTGAGCTGCTCCCAGATTCCTGGCTCACGGCATCAGCCACGAGACAATAAACGGTGGTTTGAGCGCCTACATTTTGGAGCCAAGTCATTCAGCACTAGATATGTGACACAGCCGGAGGACGGGGAAGGTGCATGTGCTACCCAGGCCCTGGGCAGGAATTCACAGTCTGCACCTTAGCCCAAACCCTGATCCTGTAGTCAAATCTCTCTTCAAAAAGAAGAAGTGGGTGGTGCAGCTGGTGACACCTATCTTGTCATCGAGATTACATAAGTTTTCAAACCCTGGACGCCTCGACTCCCGCTGCTGCCCTGACTCCCCTCTGACACCTCCCCTTTGCACTGGGAGAGGGGGCTCCATTTTCTTTATGATTTGGTCTCCTTCTGTCACTTGACTTTCCCAGGTACTGCTGAGCTCCTGCAGAGAGAACCACTGTCAACAGGGGCATGGCCCAGCGCTCCTCGCAGCCCTCTCCCCTACAATCAGGAGCCAGAGCGGGGTGGGCGGGGGAAGGGAGAGGGGGGGGCTCATCCTTATTGCGTGAGCTAATGAGCCGAGACGGCAGAGTAAAGCCAGAGGACTGCTGCCGGCCGAGGGCAAGGCGGGAGACGTTCTAGGCCACGATTGTTTAGAAGACACAGTGGCAAACTGAGAGTGAGCTGGTTTTCATGACTGGATAATGAGCCCAAATGGCAGAGGAGAGAGCTGGCTGGTGGGGAAAACCGAGACCAGAGGCTCTTCCCTCTCTCCTCTGTCAGACAGAGCCAGGGACCGGCAGGGCCGGGAGGGAAGTGCCTCTGGCTGGGGAGAGGGGAAGAATCCAGACGGCACCTCTCCATTTTACTAGAGAGAGCAAGTGCGTCTCCACCTGAGGGGCAAGGAGCCAGACTCTGCTTCCGGCTGTAGCCGTTACCTGAGTCCTTACTGACCTGAGGCTGACCTGAGGCCCGCACCGTGAGTGTCTGTGTCCACACACAGGGACACAGATGTGGCCCACCAAGGAACCCAGGGCCAGGGCAGCAGCCCTGTTGTCCACAAAGGGTCCCCTCAGACCAAGGGGCGTGGCCTGGTAGGGGACAGAGAGACCAAGATGGTCCACTCTGGTTCATCGTCACCCTCGTTGCAGGAACACTGGCCCCGACCACTTAGCGTGGGCCTTCAGGGCACCCTGCCCTGCTGGACGCGTCCTCAGGAAGCCTGTCAGGGCCTTGAGCTCAGGCTTCACAAGTGAAAACCAAGGGGGCCCAGAAAAAATGGATTTTCGATAAAGGCCATAGTTCATTAACATAAACGTATCTCAACGAACACCCGGGGCCTGCTTAGAGCAGACATTATTCGGCATCTGAAGTAGAAATGTAACCTGGCATCCGGCATTTTACCTGGTGATTCCTCTTCACAACCCACCTGCCCACCCGCTGCATTGCCCACAGCTGCAGGGAGTGGGTGGGACGCATTCTCCTGGACACCCACGTCAGTCTCTGATTCAGCCTTCGAGAGACACGGAGACGGGTGGACACTGGGGTACGACACACCACGCCAGAACTCGGTGGCTTCGATCCATCCACTGCTCCGTGACGCTCAGAGTCCGTGGGAACGTGGCCAGGGTGCAGCGGGCAGGGGCTGTGCTCCACATCCTCTGGGGCCCCTGCTGGGAGGAGTCATTGACTGCGGACACTCAGCTGCTGGACACTCATCTAGAACGTACTCCTCCCCTCTCTGCTGGTCAATGCCAACTGTTGGCTGGGACCACCGCTGGAGCTATGTCACGGGAATGGCCTGACCCTCGTGGCAGAGAGACAGTGGCCAGGTTGTGGGAGTCGTCAGAGACACCAGCAACGCTCCTGGGCCACGGGTGGTTGACACGGCGCTTTAGCAAAATCGTCTGCCACTGAAATTGCACTGGACTGCCACCATCTGCATGGATCCGGCTCACAGTCCCCCAGGCTCCCTCTCCACTCCCACCCATCTGCACGCCGAGTCCCCGCGTCCCCTGCCTCCACTGGAGAAGAGAAACATCTGCTTGCAGCACAGTCCCCTCCTCCCAGCCCTGCCAAAGACAGCTCGGCCAGCTCAGGGGCTGGGACTGAGCGTGCCCCGCAGAACCGCCTGGCTTTGAGGCCGGGAGCCAGGGAGCGAGATGCCCTTGACACAGTGGGTGCACGGGTGATGAAGGGGGCAGGGGGCACCCCGTCCTGTCCGCCCCCGCTGCTCCCCAATCTCCACCTCCGCCTTCTTGCCCAGGGTCTCCTGGCCCTCGCTGCAGCCCTCCTCGCGGGCACTTGCCTCTGGGAAGCAGCAGGTGGCCCGGTGGTCACCTGCAGTGGGAGTCGGCCTCACATGGCGACCGTGTCTTTTGAAGC